AAAGAATGGAGCTGAAAAGATGCAAAAAGGATATTGTTGGCAGATTAACCCATCTTCCGTGTTTCGGGTATATCTGAAGACTCATAAGTCCAATTGATGAGATTCAAAATGTTCTGAAAACTAGACGAAATTTCCTACGACTTATGTGAGAGGGCCTTTTTGCTAATTCCACATTTATCTTATCCAAAATCGGCCTTGAAGATGAAGCATAAAAGCTGGACGGAAATTCCCTCCAAGTTACTTATTCCCCAAGCACCACTTATCTTATTTTTATTTGCTTAATCCCTAAGCCACCATTAGTTTCCTTATTCCAATCCAACTCTAATATTCCATATTAATGTCATCTCCATAAACTATAAATACCCCATATCATTCCACCAGTTTCATAATCTATGAGATTCCACTTCGACTTGTGCAACAAGAAAACTTCATAGCTATCGTTTTGAGGGTCTAGAAGGCGGCCGAAGGGCCGTTAAGCTGATATGGAGCAAAGATCTAAGGGATTAGAGAGCGGATTCATGTCGGTAATCATGTGGTTTGTTATCGTGACCATTTTTGCATTCCATTGTGATGCCATTATGTGTTTACTTTCTGATTTAGGTGTTAAAACCTTTTACTTTGTGTTTATGACTGAATGAATCTTCAAATTATTGGTTTAATTGCTATTTGTATTATTTATTCTTATTTAATTTATTTTGTCAAGTTTGATTGAAGATCCATATGTGTTAAAGATTGTTGTTTTGTTTCCTATTGCTGAATTAATAAAGTTTAGATGACCATCTAGCTATGTTAGTTTGAATCATAGTTGTCCAATGACCATTGGTGATTATGACTAGAGGTTTGACCAAAACCTAGGGTTAGGAAATAAAGTAATGAACTTTAATGTGTGTGCATGAGTAGAATGACCATTCGCTGCATGATTTTACTTCTAATACTATTAGAGTTAAATAAGATCAAATCTTGCTTAATACGAACTAAATACTGATTTGCATGATTGTTTGTTCACTTGATCAATGAGTTAATAATTGTGTTGAAATCAAAGGATTAGCAGTCGTGACCATGACACTAGTCATATTAGGAATCGGTGAATAATGAATAATTATCCATTGTATCAGTAGTTAGCCATTAATTTAAGAAGTAATTCATCTAAATCAAAGTACCTAAAGAAATTTGTATCCCTGTCAGTTTATCGAGAATTGCTATTAGTTATTCGTTTGAGATTTAATAAACATTTCTTTATTCCTTTCGTGTGTTTTGTAACCTATAATCAAATATTTTAAATTAATTCACTACCGTTCCCCTTGTGTTCGACACACTTGCTTATCAAAGCTATATTATACTCGATCGGGTTCATTGCCTGTAAGGTGTGGTTTAGATGCGATAAATTAGGACTTATAAATAAAAAACTAGTGCATTAAATATTCACATCACGCACGTACGCAGACAGTGGGCCAAAAGGATTTTAGGCTCTCGGTTTTGTTGGGCCTTGGACTTATCTAAGTTGGGCCTCAAGCACACCTGTTGTATCAAGGCATTTTGGGCCTAGGATCATGTTAGATGTCTATGGGCCATATTGGGCCTTAGAAGCCTTTTGTTGGGCTTGGATACTTGTAGGTTGTTATGGATTTGGGCCTTGGAAGAAGGAGGCCCAATAAGGCAAAGATAAAGGAACCTTTTTGCTTTAAGTAAAGGATTAGGGTTTTGGACCTTCGGGGTTAGAATGTGACCTAATTGCTAATTAGGATTTTATGCTTGTGCGATAGGGAGAGGAGTTCGCAAGTCATCCGCTGAGTACGATTTGACACCCACAGTTTGAGGTGAGTCTTCCTTCGCAATAGTCGTGGGTCGAAGGCACCAAGGTCGGCTTACTAGTTATGTTATAGCATGATGATTGTCTTTGTGATAACTGTCAGTCATGTTTGTATTTGTTTGATGACTCGGTGATTAATGTTATGATATTATATGGTAGTAGTAGTGGGGTGAAATAGACCCGATATCCGGTTGAAATAGACCGAAGGGGTAGGTCAGCACCCAGATATGCTTGACGTATTCGGTTGAGATAGACCGAAGGGGTAGGCCAACACCCATATATGTTTGGTAGTATCCGGTTGAAATAGACCGAAGGGGTAGGCCAACACCCAGATATGTTTGGCAATATGTTTGTTTAGTATGTGGTATGTTGGGGGAACTCACTAAGTTTTGTGCTTACAGTTTTCAGTTTTTGTTTCAGGTACTTCCAGTTTGAAGGGAAATGGCCCAACTTGATCGCATCGCATCACTCCATATTTTTCCACACTTAGTGATTTTGGGATTTGTACTCTGATAATATGATACAATGTGACTTTTTTGAATATTTTGGTCTCGGTTTCTTATGAATTAAATGAATTTAAAAACAAATTTTTATATGTATGTTTTGGGATGTTACAAATTTTGGGTGTCATAACATTGGACACATACCCAATGCTTTTAAAAAACTAACTTTCACCTCTTCCACCTACACAACCAAACTAAATCCAAAATTTTTATTCACATTACCAACCCAACTCAAACTTATATTTTACTAAATAAATACAATTTATAAGTATTTTTATTCTATCAAAAATTATTATACATAATAAAGTTAGTTATTTTACTTTGAAACAGAAAAGAAAATATGGTTACTAATAATCTATGATAAAATATATAAAATTAAAAGATATTTAAATCCTTTTTTTATACTCATTAGCAACCTATTTTAAATAGTGATTACTTTTCATTCGATGACAGAATATAAAAGTCAAAATATTTTTTTCTATATGAATTGGATATTAAAGTATAGCAATATTAGATTTTATTTAAGAAAAAAAATTGATATCTTTTTATATTTTGTTAAATAATATATTTGTTTTTTTTAATTCGGGCTCAAAAAGAAAACTACCACTTGGATCGTTTAAATATTAAAATATAACCCGACTTGGGTTTGATATAGTCTTGGTCGTTTTTTTCCTTTGTTTTAATTTTTTTTCACGACCGAATAGGTAAAAAGATCACTAATGGCTATAGTCTAATAACATTATCCCTTTAAAATATTATCTACTTACTCAAACATTGCATCAGACAGTTCATCCACATTCAACATGATCAACTAATTTTCAATCTTCATTTAAATAACCTTTTCCACTTCATGATGTAGTTCATAATTGTCATCAATTTTACATAATTAAAGTTTAAGAGTATACAACATTCAAGTAATTACCTTGTCTTCTACTTCAGTCTTCAGCTGCATCATTTAAATACATCATACATCAATTTTAAGTCAGACAGATCTTGGGTTTATTCTTATTGAATGTTGTGATTCTTAGGAGCGCTCCATTGTTAATTTTAGGCACCAAAGAAAGTTTAATTGCAAAAATCATGTATATATAGATGGGAGTTGGAGGAACAAGCTGATGTAAGAGATCGTGGTGTGGTTACCGATTTAGATGGGAGAATGGAGGAAGAGGAAGTCGAAGGTGGGCGGATTAGAGCGAACATGATGAAGGTTGAACCAGGAGCCATGGGATTCGAGGACGTTTGGCCGATAACTTCTCAATCGTGGAGGAGTGGCCATATCGACCAGGCATTGGGATGATAGAGATATGAATGGCAGGTGAAAGGAAGAATAAGTGTTATTGTTTGGGAAGAGGTAACTGTAAATAGTAGATAAAACGGCCGAGATTGTATGTAATTTTCCATTCGAACATGATACATTAAATATCGTTTGAATTGAACCTAAAATAAACCATTGTCATCATTTCTGTTAGCCCTGTCGAAAATACCCAATACCCGAATTACCCGCCCGATTTTTTCGGGTATTAGGTTAATTTTGTCGGGTATTCGGGTAATCCGATTTTTTTTCAGATCGGGATATAGGGTACGTTTGTTGGGTTTCGGGTATACCCGAATTATTTTAAAAATTCTTTTTTTTCTTTCCTTTTGTAGAGTTTGTACTTTGTAGCAATTATTTGATCACGCTTAAACTATCATTATTGTAAAACATGAATCTCTTTTATTATAACAGTATGGCACCAACAATATTAAAAGCAATTGTTTATATATGTTACCATGTTCTTTAAAACTTAACTGTTTTCTAGATTATAGTTTTTATTGCAACTAACAAACTCATTATTTTGACGGAACTTCAGAACATGACAAAACTTATGGCTACAATTATCTTAAACATTTTAAACTAAAATCTTTAAGTATTTGTTTTTTTTAACATCTTATTAGATTAGATTAAGTTGTTAAAAGATTACTTGATATGTTAAGTATTATTGACTTAAAAATTTCAATGTTCAAAGTTTGAATAACTTTGTTTATGCCTCGTTTGTTTATATAAACAAGACTAATAGAGCACGACATTTATTTTATTAAATTTATTTTCAGATATCATTCAAAAGAAAATTTATATATTTCAGGTAATACCTGAATTACCCAAACCCAACCCACCATCCAAATTTAATTTGGATCGGGTAACGGGTATTTTTTTAACATGAAAAAACCCGAATTACCCGAAACCCGAAAAAATTACAACACCCTTAATTTTTGTGGTTTACGCTCCAGCGCACAGGGGTGCAACTCCTTGTTAGATATTAAGGATAAAAATAAAGTATATCATAACTACATTGGTAAAAGGAGTGAAGTACATTGCATTTTCCTGTAAATTAGTCTAAAATTAAAAACTGAAACAAATAATTAAATATATATAACATGTATTAAATACAAAGTAAAATATATTAATACATAAATTACATATAAACAACTTATAAAATGAAATATACTACCAAATAATTTAATAGACAATTTTTAATGAATGAATGATATAGTATCATGTGATGATTCTGTATTATTATAAATTGCTTTCACTTATTGCATAATGGCTTTCAATTTGGAAGGTGATTAAAAATTAATCTAACCTGGTCAACAAAAACAAATGCTGCAAATTATGAAAAAAAGGTGATTACCATAAACCAACACATATCCTTGCATATTCATATATGTTTCTTTTACCATAAACCAACACATATCCTTGCATATTCATATATGTTTCTTTTAAACAATTACTAATTGAGTTTGTAGATTTAGTGCAACTTAAAGCCAACCTTTTTAACTATATATACTACTGTTATAAAATTCCAAGTCTCTTTCTACCATTCACATCTTGCAACCCCTAGAAATTAGAACATCTCCATAAGCATCTTCCTGTTGCACCTCTATGAGACTAGAAGACGCCAAAACTGAATGTTCCATAATTTAATTATATCAGCACTCAATAGATAAAAATAAATAAATAATTGACGGAATATGGCTAGGGAGATACCACAAGTCTGATAAAATAATTCCGCAGCCGCTTTCTTGTTCAATCCAAATGCAAGCTTATCAAGTGACCCTGTTTGAGCAGATCCTGGTGTATCAAAATGCATCTTCAGTTGCCTATAGACATCAAAAACAAGTGTTTTAATTTAATCTATATAGTATTAAATACTAATTGATTAAAAAAACATAATAGTATTTTATTACCTGAAGATTGCAAAACTCGACGGATCTACCTTGCATAGATCATAAGTTGACTCATCCAGTGGACCCTCCTCATCCTCCTCAGATACTAGGATAATGCCGAGATCATTAGTGGAAGTGGGACACTAACAGATATACTATATAAGAAAGAGAGTAGAAGTTACTAAACCATATTCTTTTTCTGATTCATACGAATGTTTGGCCGCCATATCAGGAATCCATGACACATCATCAACTGCCACTACCGGATCACACCGTTCTGTGTCTTCATTAACTACCATGTCAGGCCTTGTTGGCTCTTCCATAGTAACTCGTTCAGGGTTGCTTCCATTTCTCTTCGTGTTGGAACTAAACAAATCAAATCTCAAATACATAAGAACGTGAGGGACTCCACTTAACCATGATGCATTAGACTGTTTTTGTAGAAAGAGGGAAAAATATATATTAAGAAGAAAACAAAAAAGAAAAGAATGGGGCGGAACCATTCAGCTACCAAAAGCTGGTTGCTCTCCACTACACAAGGCAACCTCTCATTGGTTGTCTTGTTTTTTTAATAAAACTTATCTTGTTATAGATTATACAACTCCAAAATCTGGTAATTTCGGTGTGCTTTTTTATTCAAGATGAATATTTTAGGTTTATTTTTATATTCAAGTTATAAAGTTTTGATTGTTTTGGAATGAAATAAATATGTAAAATGTGTATAAATGAGATTTAAAAAAAATATATGTTGTAAATAAGCATAGCAGTCCATATAATTCACTAACCTTTGTCCAACATTAAAATTAAAGTCCGAGGCATAAGCTGTATCTTCATTACCTGCTAATCAAAATAGGACAACGAATAATCAAAAGTTCAAAACATGATTTGAAATATGCCATATTATGATGAGAAAATGTAAAAGAATCAATTTTTTCAATATGCCCATCATATATGCAAAATCAGAAGGTATTACTGTTGAGTTGACAACTGATATACCTTTACCAGCAATGGTTAGACGTTCTCTGGAAATAAAATGGGGTATCTCGGCGGTTTCCCTTGGTGATCCAGATGCAGCTCCACCAAGGTGATCTTGGCTAGGCTAAAGTTCGATGTTAATAGTTAGGAAAGAGAAATTATCATTTTTATCATTTGATGATGGTATTGGTGCGGGTTGATGAAATTGAAAATCGGTAAAAGAACTTACTCTTCTCTTTCTTTTTCAATCAACATAATCATCAAGCCAAGATCTAAGAGTCTGATTGTCATCACGGATTGCATTCCGAATTCTTCTTGATGCTCGGTTCCTTCGACGTCTTTTGCTTTGTTGTGTGTACCGTGCCTATAAAATTAGATAGACAAATTATAGAAAATAGAAAAATAATTTTTTCTTTTTAAAGATATTGGCAATATACATTACTTTCCATTCATAGTAGCAACACACTGATGCTGTGGGAAAATCGTTTATGGATTTAGATTATTTTGTAATAACTGTAATATCATGTGATTTTTTTCTTGAAAATTTGAACACTTCATGTTTGAGTTACTTCTGTTCTGCCTTAGTTTCTAATTTATATACCCATAATACCAATGTACTTACATCATTTGCCGATAATAGCAATATTTAATCTAAAACTTGTATGACAAACTTTACTATTTACCCACAATAGCAACGCACTTACATTTCTTTACACGTACGTACAGCTTCTTACCCATACTAGCAGCATACTTATATTTTGTTATGAATATAAGCAATATGCAACATGAAACTTGTAACCAATTTACATGTTTCAGTTTATATATATTGCTATTTATCGGTTAAGACATGTAAATATATTAGCATAATGGGCATAGAAAATACAATCATTTTGCTAGTATGCGTAAAATATATGGTAACAAGAGTAAAGTACGTTGCTATTCCCCACAATTTGCCCATATTTGATTTTCCTTTGAATATGATTAGTCCTTATGACCGACTATTTTACCTTGGGAAAATGGTGACCAACATGTCCTCTTGGACGTTGCTCAGGGATCTCCTCAACTACAAGAATCTAAAGGTCAGCAACTATTATTACAAACAGCATCCAAAAGTTTGAGCAACTTCTGAACCGTTTGCTAACACAATATTGTATTTGAGACAAACAGTAAAATGATACTTACAGTTATGGGGTTCATTTGTTAGGAGTAGAATACGAGAATTCTCTTGTACATTGGTATTATCCACGTGTGCTTCTTCTTCTTCCCCATGGTGAGACTCAAACGTAAACCTATCACATTAGAAGTGCCAAGTTATTTCTACCCATTAATGATCTCTAATCCCAACCGTTCTTAGTTTAGGCACAATTTTCTTTGCACAGGATCCAACTCTGACTAATACCCAATTTCAGAAACCCCACTATAGATATCAGCTCAAGAATCAATTCTAACAATGATAATTCAAAAAGAAAACCACAAATTAAGTAAGCTCAAGATTCATATTCAACAGATACTCAATTCAATAAAACCCCATCTGTTCTTAGCTCAAGCTTCAATATAAGTATCTTACCTTTCATCTAGATCTGATGTTCCTGCTTGAGTCTGGTATGAATTATCATTGTCACGTATGTTGATATAATTGATATCAGCTGACAACATAAATAAATCATCAGTAAATATTTGAGAAATCGGAAAATATGTATCCAGATTTACATGTGTCTATGATAACTCTACATAAAATGGTTGACCTTGATGACGATCATGAGTGATATTATTCCCCCCCTGACCGGTGTAGATATCCTCTATCTGGTCAAGATTCTGCACAAAAGAAAAGGCACAGTTCTGTTTTTTGAACTTTGAGTAGAAAAAAACACTGAAGGAATTCTTGCCCTTGTGTTGGACAAATTTACCATATTAGCATAATTCCATTTCACGCCTGAGTTAGAAACAACCATGAGTTGGTTATCAGGGACAGCTCTGCATAACAACGTGACAATATGCTTGTTCAAATTCTAAACTATGAGATTAATATATGAATATACTACTCGATATTTGATTAGAATTAACTAGAGCATTATTGAAAAAATTAATATTAACGTCTAAATTTGAATGCAAGTATTAAAATGCGTCACTGATTTTGTCAACCTAATCTAGAAATACTTATCTGTAAATAATGTTTTCAAACCTGAAATGTTGAGTTGCAGATAGCTGGGGTCTTTTTGTACTTAATGTGTAAATTAGAGGACTAAAGTTGGAAATACTGAAAGTTTGGCTTATAGAAGCAGGAAGTGATATTTGAAGGTGTGAAGCTGAATGAATATATTAAAGTGGGAATGGTTACACTGGAATGTTGGGCATATAAGTACAATGCATGTTGCCCTAACTCATTAAGCCGTCATTTTTTTCTTCAGTGAGGAGCACACACACACACACACACACACAAACAAACCTAAAAGAAAGTTTAGAGAGAGATTTGTTCTTGGTGAAGCGATTTATCATCTTGGTGCGTTTGTGAGATTTAGACTGTTGTATCTAGTTTAGGTATATTGTAGAGAGTTTGTGTGTAAGCTAATTTAAAGTATGAAACAAGGACAAAATGGGAAATTTCCATATTAAGAGCATAAGTTTGGAAATAAGGGATAAAGGTCCCCTACAATCTTCATTGAAGTATTATAAGAGTATTAGAAACTTACTGTTTCAAGGACACATGCACAGAAATGCAATGAAGTAATGGGACAAAAGTAGTTATACCATGGTATTAGCCTTTAACATAACCAACATGGTTGGAAAAGATCTGAATGGTGTTTATTTATACGCTACAACTCATTGGGATAGTTAAAATACAAGCTTTCATGTGAAAGTGTCTTGAATTAACATTAAGTCATAAAGTGGGACAAAAATGGAATATGAGGGTTCAAGCATGTAAATGACCAATTATTCTATGAAATATATGTTTAGACACATTATAAAATAAATTAGAATAAGAATGGTAAGAAGAATCAAGTGCCTACATTAAGATTTGGACACAAGAACAAAGTAGGTTGCTATTTCATGCAAGTATGGGAGAAAATGAGAAAGGTGAAAAGGGACACTTGGGTTGGGTTATAACGCATGAAAATCACTAGAAAACACTACTCCAGTGTGTAATAAAGTATGGGGAGGACTTAAAAGTCCAACGCAATGGTATTAGTAGTTATTTGTGAGTTTCAAAGATAAGTGATTGAAATTTCATTGCAAAATCAGATCTAAGAACCTAAACTCAGCAATTCAAACATTCAGCTATACAGATATTATAAAGTTCTAGAAGATAATTCAAGAAGAACTAGGTCATTTGGACTTTTAACCAATGATTTATGGCATTTTGAAGTAGTTAGATTTCATAAGATGCATTTGAAGCTTTACAAGGTAATTGGATACTTGATCTTGTACACCATCCAACAGTACTCTATGTATCTCGATATCATTACTCTTTGCTAACAAGAAGGTATGATATAAACTCTAGGTTTCAAAGAAATATAATTAGGGTGTTACATGTTAAAAAGACTTTTGAATCTTCTGTGATGCTCCATAAGATCTAGAATGGGACATGAAGGTTATTTGGTGTTTAACTTTATCAAAAAGACATTCTAAAGATCACAGGCACCTTCAATGAGACACACACACTGAAACCCTAAAAGAAAGTTTAGAGAGATTGTTCTTGGTGAATCGATTTATATTCTTGGTTATCGTTTGTAAGATTAAGATTTCTGTATCTAGTTTAGGTTATTGTAGAGGGTTCATGTGTGTAAGGTCTATGTGTGGTTGTTCTTGTTTCAGTTTCCACAGTAAACGTTTGATTTAAATTGTGTGCTTTGAATTTGCTGCTAGGTATTCATCAGAAATTATGTATCAGTTTAGTAACAAACTATTGGAGCTATATTGTAGCTGATTAAGTTAATTAGTTAACAGCTTAGTTAGTTAATACAGTTAGCTTGTTAGTTTTCCTGTTACATGTAGGGTAACTATGATGGTGCATGTAAGCACGTTTATCTTTATATATATACTCCATATTCTTTGTAGTCAAGTAATGAGAGAATGCTTCAAACTTATATTCTTTAGTTTAACTATTACAATAAAAACTTACTTGGGTTCGGACAGGAGGAAACGTCCCAACATGTCTCCAAATAAGCAAAGTTCCTCTGTAAAAGTAAAAGAATTAGAGCTGAAGAACAATTGAAGTTTAGCAAAACATAAAACAAATGAGTGATAATCTCACCATGAAGAAGTTCTAGTCTATGCCTGTAAACAAAAAGGACTCCAGCTGAACATATAAAAAAGCAAATTGAGAAAAATCATAACAAAGTACAGTATACATGGATGAATTTGATTAATCAATTTACCAATGAGCGTGCCAAATACTCCTAAAGGTATTATTGGAGTAAATGGATCTGAATATGTATATGATTCAAGCAGATTCAGTATGTCCTCACTGCATTTAAGCATTAAGATACTCAATTTAAAGGCGAATTCAAAAACAAAATAACTGTTACGTCCAAATTAATTGAATCAAAACCAAATCTGGCTTATATTAAGCTTGTCTTGTTTCCTCCAGTTGCGATTCCTACGCAATCCTGCATCCCTTGTTACATCAAAAGAAGAGAAAACGAAACAATATCATGACCAAAATCCATCACATTCCTGCAATCATTCTAATAGACGGAAACTAAAAGTTCATCGGAACATGAATTATAAACTTTATAAGCGTGCTTAATTGAATACAAACAATCAACGACGCACGCAAGGGGATAATTCTAAAGGTTTGCAATAATAAATAGACGCATTCATAAACACACGCAGTTGATTATTTCTGTAATTCTATACAGTTTAGAACCAGAATAGTTATTTCCATTTTGTAAACACAATCACAAACGCACGCAGGAGACGATTACTGCTAATTACATACCACGTTGGATAGAGAGTCGCTTTGTAAGCATTCAGCTGGGGAGGGTAGAACATTTTCTGTGTTGGTTGCAGAGAAGAGAAGGAACAGAGATTATTTAATGGCGGTAGTTTGCTTGTGGAGGAAGATCACACTTGCAACGTGAGAGTGAAAGTGAGAGTGTGCATGAAGCAGTAAATTGCAATCATTATGAATTTAAAGAGTAATTATGCACGTAATCCTTAAACTTGGCTGGGGTCTTCATTACAGATTTTAGGCGGGATTTTATATATATTCTGGCGAGTATAAGTCATCTTTCTGATAGAAAGTAATTATTCTGCTTAATAATAATCAATTCTGAAAAAATATATGATTTTTTAGGTAATTTTGGAAAAAAAAAAAAAAAAAAAAAAAACAGAAAGCATATGTAGTTGGAATTGGGAAGTTATAACTTTTATTTGAAACTAGAAGATGTAATCTTTATTTCCTTAAAAATGTTTGACAAAACTAGTCATAAACTTTTATGCCCTTAATACTAGGACATCATAAAGAATTTCACTTTACATACCAGGACAACATGATTATTTTAAGGGCAGCATGGTAATATTGTTACGTAGGAGAGTTTCTCTAAAGGCTGTAAAGGCTGTTTGAAATAACTTTTAGAATCTTTTTATTGAGTTTTTTTAGAGATAAAAATTCAAATAAAAACCTTCAGCCTCATCTCTAATTGTTAGGTTTTAGTCCTAATGATACACGAAAACTAATATGTTAGAGAAAACTTATTACATGTTGAGTGTGCGAAATTTTACACAAAATATCGCTAGTGTTCACGGTGACCTTCAGTTAGGGTCATTTCGTTTCAGTCCCACCTCCCTAGGAGAACAAGCTGGGAAGAAGATAAAATGACAAAAAAGATAATAATAATGATAAATACCGTCAGCCACAAACATCTTTAATCCACGACCCACCCTTCCCCTTATACCTTGTCGGTAACAATCCGACGACTCCAGCTTTTCCCGATGAAGCTCCCCATACCTCTTCCCTGGTGAAACCATCAGTCCCTCTCCTTCGTTATTGGCTTGTAAAGCCTCTTGAAAATAAGACGTCTGCAAGCTCAGTCTTCCGGCAGACAACGGCTGATAATGCCGGCTAATGAACCAACTTTCACCTCCATCTTCTGCCGGCATATAGCCGCCCCCTGATCTAAGCTTGGACTCGCGGATTCAGTTTTCTCCTTCTTGTTTTCTGATTTTCTTTCCCATTCGATTCCACGTTCATAGAGAGTTCATTCAGCCTTCTCATCAACAATGTCGGTGCGGTGACGACAAAATGCGGTGGTACAGAGGGATATGAGGTTGGCCGGAGAGGAGAGACAAATAAACTGTGATGAGGGTTATATGGTGGTTGTGACGGCAATGAGACGGTGGATCAGTGAGAATTGGAAGAGGTGTTAGGCTTTACTTTAAAAACAACTTTTGCACTTTCATTTTGGATAAAAGTTTTTTTAAAACAACTTTTCCAATCAGACGGTTGGGTGTGAGCAATAGGATATCAAATATTGTCGCCTCCTATTTTAATATATTTTAACATCTTATAACTTGGTGTTAAAAGGAGAGAGAAAAAAAAATAAAAGAAATAAATAATTTGATTGGGTGTTGCCCCTCGTTCTCGTTACCACATTTCATAACGCCACATCTGATAATTTGAGGCGGGGGCGGTGTTCCAACCGTGGTAATGGCGTTAAGGAGCCTCAACGTAGGCAAAGACGCCCATCCATGGACCCGTACCGAGTAGTCTAAAGGGGGGAAAAGTTGGATTCTAAAAGTCACGATTTTGTGACTCTTGTGACTTTTTAACCTTTTAAAAGTAACTTTTGTCTTTTGTCCATTCAAACACATTTTAAACCATTATTTTTGTAAAAAAGAACTTTTATAAAAAAATTATAAAAAGGACTTTAAAGCTAAAAAGGTAATCTCAAACACCCCCCTGAGGCTCGCAAAGCTGAGAATGAAGAGACACGGGTCTCATTGAAAAAATAAATAAATAAATAAATTGAGGTTAGAGTTCAACTCATTTATTAATTGGGTCGAAAATTTGAATTCAACCCAACCTTTTTATGTAAATGGATGGATATTTTCAACCTTTTAGATAAATAGGTCGACTCCTTTATGTAATTATCAAATCAACATACTTAAATAAATAGGTTAAACATTGGTTAATCAATTTAAAATAAAAAAAAAAGTAAATAAATTAACTGAAGATTACACCACTTAGATTAATTTCAAGCTTAAATAAACTTTCAAAGTATAATAAAAGCACAATCTTAATTCACAAATACAGAGAAATTGTTCAAACAACATTAAAGATATGTAATTTTAAAATGATTTTGAAGAGTGACTAATGTTGTCCGCGCAAAGAAAAAAAATATGAATTAGGATTGCATTTTTTAAAACATAAATAATAATACAATATTGTAATTTATAAATTAATACTTAGATTAATACATGATAATATTTAAATAATTATAAAATAAAATATATATTTGTGACATTCTCTAATTTTCAGAATCAAATAAAATTTTTTCTTTACACTTTAAAATATCATCTGCCTTTGTTGCTAAAAATCTCAGTTAAAGAAAACATTTTTGAGATAACAAGTATTATTTCAAAATATTAAAAACACTAAGGTTGTCATAATTAAATATCCAACATAGGTTAGAGCGTAAATACATAAGGTCCTAAATATTATTACAAGCTTGTCACTTATTTCACTCAGCATCCTAAATCAGTTTCAGAATTGATATAATTCCTAATGCGACTCTGATAGCCAAAGCATCATATCGACTAGCACCACCAGAAATGCATGAATTGTTAACTCAACTTCATAATTTGATCGACAAAGGGTTCATTCGACCAAGCAGTTCCCCCAAGGGAGCACCAGTTCTATTTGTCAAAAAGAAGGATGAATCGCATAGAATGTGCATTGACTATAGGTAACTTAAGAAGAATCGTTATCCACTGCCTAGGATTGGCGATTTGTTTGATCCACTTCAAGGAGCGTCATGGTTTTCCAAGATTGATCTACATTCAGGATACCACCAGATGCAAGTAAAAGAGGAAGATATTATGAAGACTGCTTTCAGAACCCTGTATGGTCATTACGAGTTTGTAATAATGCCTTTCGGACTCACTAATGCGCCAGCTGCATTTATGGATCTAATGAACAATGTGAGAGAACAAATAGATCTGATGCGCAGGGACAAGGTTTGAGAACTCAAACATTGAGTGAATGCTTAAGATCAATGTCTGCTTACTAATGAATGTTCTAGTCAAGCCTGGATAGACCAGTCAAGCTGAGTTAATGTATTCAACAAGTGATCAAGCCATAAATGAAGAGTAAGAGTAAAGATCAAAGTAAAGTTAATAAATGAAGAACAAGAAGAATGTTTGAAAGATAATTGAAGTAACTTAGTAAATGTCAAGAAATAAGTGAAAGATTCGTCGTTTAACATTGCATTGAAAGCTCCTATAAATAGGAGTGTTTGATACATGGTATAAACTATCAAACATACATAGGACTGGATAAAAGGAATGATTCTTACATGCTGATTGTCCAAGTTGACAAACATACTAAGTCCTATGAAATGTCTAATCATTCAATTAGACAAAAGTAATTAATACACAAATAGACAAAAACAGTGACTCTGGATTATCATACAATCCGGACATAATGTCCATTTCGGAATGTCTTCGCTTCTAAAGTTCTCATCTTCTACTCTTCAAGTCTGGACAGATTCCGAACTACTCTTCACTTCGAAACACTTGCTGACTTCGGAATTTACGTTTGGACTTATGATTGCTAGAGGTTCACTTTTAGGTTCCAACAATCTCCCCCTAAGTGAACTTAGCAATCCAGTCAGCTTAGATGGCTTCTTCCTTGATGAAGGTGTAGGCTCTGAATAACCATTCTCTGAATTCAATGTACCAGGACAGTTGACTCATAAACTTTGCTTTGACCTGTTCCGGAGCTTCAGACTTGGATGCACGAGAAATGAACTTCCGAAGAGCTTTGGTAGGAACTAGGTGTTTGTCCAGGACTCGGAAAAAGTCCTTCTTGTTTGTCTTCCTGGTTGTGTAGACAAACCCTAGAACTGGGTCATCGATTGGACTATCTGCAAGCAGTTCAGCTTCCGGAAGAACGAAGTCGATTTTCGCAACAAAGTTTTTTGTTCCGTATAAGCGGGCCAGCTCTTAGTCGCATCTGCAAAACTCTACGACATAGTCCTTGAGGAAACTCAGAGCTGCATGATAAGCACCCATACTGATATCATCGTTTTGACTTCTTCAGAAGTGAGCATCCAATGTAAGAATGTCATTCGGATTCATCGAAGGGAAATCAGCGTCAGTTATGGTCCGAGGAGTTGATTTGTCCCGGAAGATGTGGAAACGAAATAATGGGAAGTTGAGTTCGAACTTCACTAAGATTTTTCTTCCAAAACCATGAACTTGGGTAATTCTTTTCCTTGTCCACACTTCCTTAAGAGGTTGTGCATTCTTGGAGTAGAATGTTTCAAGTCTTTCACGCTCAGTCCGGAGGATCACTTCCGGATCGTCATTGGGGTGAAGAAGAGCGAATTTGATGTAGTATTTGCTGTATGGAGAGAGAGAAAGATCTGTTCGGAGTCATTTTTCGGAACATTGTAATACATGAAAGGAATGATTTCATGATTCCGGAGAATGCCTTCACGGCATAGAGCTTGGATCTGGATGCTGTCCTCTAATGCCTTGTTAATTTCCTCCTGAGACCATTCATATTTTTGCTTTAGAGGAGGTCCGGAGTGGAAGGCTTGTTGTTCGGCCGTCATAGGCTTTTTGCCTTTGTCATTCTTTAATGCAGACATAATGAGTTGCATGTTCTCATCAACAGCAAATTACAGAGTAGGATTCGGAAGAGGTTCTTCCGGAATGTCATCAGGGATCCGGAGTGGAGAACCCTGGTTTATAGAAGCGATCTTTGGAGCCGGAATGGGAGGAAGCTTTGAAGGAGTGGCTCGGAAGGCGTGGGCTGTGAGAAATGATTTCGCTTTGGCCATTTGAGTTGCCATTCGAAGAACGTCAGGCAAAGAGGATAGCCAAGATACTACAGACCAAATTCTTTTTTCTTCCTCTATCATCACCTTCGGAAAGAGCTTGTTTGGAGCCTCGTGTGACATCCCCATTTTCATGGCCAGAAAAAACCGATTTTGTTTATGCTTTGTTTAAAAATCAGAGTAACATTTTAAATAAAAGTGTTGCGGAATTTGTCCCAAAACAAAAGATGATAATTGTGTTATCAAAGCATTTCTAAAGGAATATATTTTTATTCACTTTTAAAACATTTGGGATGTCATCGTCAATACAGAAACATAAGCATAAACAGAACTTACATTCATTTACACTAGTGATCTACATCTCTTTTAAATCTCTCAGTGTAATGTGACTTCATATAAACACCTGTGATATAAATAAACTGAGTGGGTCAGGTTGGGAAACCTGGTGAGTACATAGGGATTTCAATCCCACAATGTTATATCATATATATAATTTAGAACTCACAAAATATACAATTTCACTTTATATGTATAAGCAACTCTTATCCCACCCCGTCGATCCTCACAACGAGACTATCCATACTCTCAAACCTAAGATTAACCGTTTTACCTAATCCATACTCCCGGATCAGAAATGAACGGCTTTACCTAATCCATACTCTCAGATTAATGACGAATGGTTATGCCTAATCCATACTCTCGGACTAGGGACGAATGACTAATCCATACTCTCGGATTAATGACGTATGATTATGCCTAATCCATACTCTCGGACTAGGGACGAATGACTATGTCTTAATCCATACTCCCGGACTAAGGACAACTGACTATGTCTTAATCTATACCCCCGAATTAATGACAGTTGACTATGTCCAATCCATACCCCCGAATTAATGACAGTTGACTATGTCCAATCCATACTCTCGGACTAGGGACAATGACTGTGTCTAATCCATGCTCCCGGATAAATGACATATGCTAAAGTTCTATTCACTGAGTATAACTCACTTGTACTCGTAAGAAAATACTACCCAATATTCCTCATAATTAATTTAGGTCTACTCTTTATCCTAAATTATCATATATAATCAGGTATGTTCTTTAACACGTATTTCAGGCAACATCAATTAACTCGCACATAAACATATAATTAATACTTCAATCAATACTTGTATTAAAATCATGTTCATGAAAGGGACTATGCACTCACCTGAAAGGTGGCGACTCAGCACTCGGACAGCGCTTCGATACTCTCAAAACAATTTTCCTTCGATAAAACCTAGTATCAATACCACTAGGGTTTAGTCTAACGATAATCGCGACAAATTAATAGTCCACTATTATTACTATTATATAAGCGTTAAACGATACTTATATAACTCAT